AGTTAGGCATGTATTAGTAACTTGAGTTTGAAAATATCTATGATCTGTTCCAGTTGTTATGACTTAATAGGCAATCATCTTAATGTCCATCGCAACGCGGAAATTACTATCGCAATGCGAAATGAAAATCGCAATGCGAAATGAAAATCGCAACGCTAATTTCGCAATGCAAAATGAAAATCGCAACGAGGGAATCACAATGCGAAATGAAAATCGTAACGCGAATTTAATTTCGCGTTACTTTCATTTTCGCGTTGCGATTCTCTCGTTGCGATTTTCATTTCGCATTGCGATAGTACTTTGCCTTCAACATAATGCAGATGAAATCAACAAAATCAACCATTACATTTCAATCAATTAAACAAGCACAAATAAGAATTATGTTAACATCAATTAAACAAATCAACTTTTACAAATCACCTTTTACAAATCAATTAAACAATAAAAAAATAAGCAATAATTATTAGAGAAAATAACACTTCTACTATTGAATCAACTTTTGCAGCCATACATCATTTTCACGCAGCTCACTTCTGAGATTAACCTGCATAAACCAAACATTTGCTCAAACAACACTTTCTACACATCTAAAACCTACAAACAGCAAATTATTGAATTCTAGGTACTTAACCAAACATTTTCAAACCACAAGCCTATAAACATACCAATTGTTTATGGACATTTTTATAACGCGGATGCAGGTAGGCAGCGTCTCGTATATATCGATCTAGCCATATAATGTCGAAACCACAAGCCTACTGCAGCTCTATCTATATCGGTGGGAGGTAGATACTTTATACTTCCTGTGATCAAACGGTCCAACGCCAAGCATACGAGAGGACCACAATCCCCTCTGGGTCCTTTCGTTTGTTGTGGTGCGGTCTCGTCTCTACTAACTGTAATATTGAGCTTCATTGGCTTCTTGTTTCCAGAACGAGTCCAATAATTTATCGCATCCAAGTATTTAGCCAAATAAGAGCTCCATAATAATATCTCTTAAATCAGCCAATGATATGTAATTTATCATGCTGTCATATACTATTGCCTTAAGGGATGGGATCTGAAGCTCGACGAGAAGCCAATGGTTACGTTCTAAAACAGGGATAAACACCTGCAATCATAAGTAATAATTCATTCATTTGCGCACTTATTTATGAATACCTTTAAACTCAATCTAAAATAAACACTAACCTTATCGACCTCCCACCATGCAGGATAAAGTTTAGCTTGTCCATTGCCCAACGCAAATGATTCATCTCGTTGATTCTTCAAGTGAACGGCGTTAAAAGACGTCGGCATAATTGTATACCGTGTATTTCTTTTATTTTCCTTAAGTTTCCTAATTATTAGAAGACGTGACACCCACGCATCGATATGCTGTTTTACAAAAAAAGACATATTAGTAACTTACATAAATTACAAAAAAAATAATCAAATGAAAAATAAGAAAATATAAGACTTACCCCTCCATCGAAATAGCCATTGTCTTCGACCCCTAATAATACGCCCACCAAGACCGATCAAGCAACAAATAGATTATCATTGAGCTTGCATATGTTAGTGAAACACCCCTGGCTTCGCTCATGTAGATAGCCCAAAATCCAGAATTGTGTCCGGTAGTTTTTTCCTCTTCTCTTCAGATACCGGTATGGTACTGGCTGGTAACTCATACGAGAGCCAACTTGAATCCATCATGTCCGGCACGTCAGAGGGTTTCTCAAGAATCCTACATATGACGCCATGTGAATCGGGATCTTGAATGGTGGGAGGGACCTCTTCAACGATGACAGTGGCCTCTTGAACGGTGGGAGGGGACTCTCGAGGAATGATAGGAGCCTTTTCAACGATAGGAGTGGACTCTTGAGGGATGATAGGCGAGTCGGGCTTCTTCTTGCGGTGTCTTCGCACTATTGGGGTATACGGAGACTTAATAGCACGTGCACGCCGTCTGATGCGTGAACTCTGCCGTGCAAGAAAAACCCGACGTAAAGCATCCACCTTATCGGTCCGCTAAATATAAAAATACAAATATCAGTAAATAAACAGACATGATATATAAACAGTGAAAACAAAGATAAATATATTTCAAACTTTCAACCAAAAGACAAAACAAAGACAAATACTAACTTCACAGTGTTAAAGTAAAAAGTTTAGCAGTTTTGGCAGCAACCGAATAAATTTACTAAGCAATCTAAGTGAAATGGTTAATTTAAGTGAAATTACGAGTAAATTTATCATCAAGTTAAATATGGAAAATCTCAAACTTACCTCGTTGCGTAGAGTATGAACCTCATTCTGCAATGATACTACCATCTCACGTAGAGCGGCAACCTCACCACGTAAAGTAGACACCTCCACACGCCATGCACCATCGTTATCGCGTAGAGTACCGATCTCCTCACGCAAGGCATTGACCTCATCACGTAACTCCCTTGACTCATCCCGTGGATGTGGAGAACATGGAGATAGAAGTCGTGGCATCTTTGTCGGTCGCCTATCATGAGGTGAAGGCGGAGAAAGAGACTCGATGATGTGACGGGATAGGTGATGGCTCTCGAAGTGGAGGAAGTGGAGGCTGCTCATCATTCGTGCCATCAAAAAAACGCTGACTAGCTTGCCACCAATCAATGGCAAGTTCAGCCTCCGTGGGTGTCAGTCTCATTAATGGAGTGTTGGCCTCCTAAAAATATAAAAACTAAAACAAAGTTAAACGTCTACTATTAATAACTTGTTTATATATGATAGTATTTGTGTTAACTTACATTATTTATTGTCGCATATGGTATTAAGTCTTCCCAATCCAACATACGTTTCCTCTTCCAGGAAATAGCCCTAGGAATATCATATGAGGATTTTAATGCATATGTCCGCATGCTGGGGAAAGCCTCGAATATCCAAATCTACAAACAATATAATAACAAACATTAGTAATTGTTAAATAATTAATTATAATTTTGAAAACATTATATAGAAATTCTTACCTTAAAGGCCCAAACAAAGCCTGACAAAGTGTATTTCGACCCATCGCCCCGCAAACTTTTGCGGTCATCAAAGGCAGACGACAACTTAGTCCAGGTAGCTTTCCATATATACGAACCCCACGGAAACAGATTCCATGCATTTAGGTCCTCTACCAATAATATTAGCTCCTGAGGAATAGGTTGTCTGGCCTCTCTGCCTAAAAAGCCGGCATACAAAAGTAGTAGAAGGCATACTCGGACAACATCGACGTCATTCATCCGAGTAAAACCATCTTTCTTATTAAACAATTTCTTCATGTCGTCGACGTGTAAGTTCGGCTTCTCTATTGACTCATCAGGAAAAACCCTGGATAACCATGATGGGCGGGTGATATGACGAGTGTACCGGCCTACATCATCGTGTCCGAATCGTAGACCAATGATTAAGCAGAACTCCTTCCGCCCAAAACAAGTATACGCCGGTGGAAAATGAAACCATATCTCTTCCTCATCACGTTGTATACTGTCGGGTAGATCGCTAGTCATGGTCTGAAGCCACAAATGGGTCAAACTAGCATCTCCACCCGGATGCTGTACTCTCAGCCATGGCCCGAAGCAGGTTTCTTCAAACAATTTTCTTTGTGCAGTTGAAAGCTTCGAAGCAATTGTAGTGGCTAGGCTAACTTTATTCCTTAATGTCAATGAAGCCGAAAAAAATTTCTACAAAAAAACAATAAACATACCAAGTTAGATATACCAAAAATTACACTGTCAAGATATACCAAAAACAAAACAATAAACATAAATAGTAGTTTATTCTTGAAACTAAAATTTGCAACACTGTTTTTGTCTTTTGGTTGAAATGAAAATCGCAACGAGATAATGAGAATCGCAACGCGGAAATGACTATCGCAACGAGAGAATCGCAACGCGAAATGACTATCGCGACCAGACAATCGCAACGCGAAATGAAAATCGCAATGCGATTTTGGTTTCGCGTTGCGATTTTTATTTCGCGTTGCGATAGTTATTTCCGCGTTGCGATTTTCATTCTCGAAACTATTCTTCTTCTGCATTACTTCAACCAAAAGACAAAGCAAAGACAAATACTAACTTCACAGGCTAAACAATTTAGCAGTATTGGCAGCAATCGAATGAATTTAATAAGAAATCTAAGTGAAATGGTTAATCTATTATTGAAATTACCAGTAAACTTATCATCAATCTCAATATGAAAAACCTAAAATAATGCAAAAATTTCAAAATAAAAATAAAAAAAAAACTAACCCTCGGAGGTTGATTTTCCATTTCTGAATGATTGTGAGGGATTTTTGACTGTGAATGGTTGTGAGGGATTTCGCCGGCGATGGGGACGGAAATCTTCGGAGATGGGGACGGATTTCGCCGTAGAGAGTGAGAGATGGAGATGGGACTGAGTGTTGTGTTTTTGGGTTTGAGGTTATGAGTTGCGATTACTGTGGACGGTTCATTTTCCGATTTATTAAAAAAAATTCGTGTTTGGAATTTGAAAAAAAAACGCGTTAATACGAATGGCGCTATGTAAATCGCGTTGCGAAAGTCAGAATCGCGTTGCGAAAGTCAGTATCTCGTTGCGATTTTGTATTATCACATTGCGATAGTAAGTATCGCATTGCGATTTTCCCAATTCGCGTTGCGATTTACTTATTCGCATTGCGATTTTCCCAATTCGCGTTGCGATTTACTTATTCGCATTGCGAATTGGGAAAATCGCAACGATACTGTAGACCATCGCAACGCGATTTTCAACTATCGCATTGCGAAAATACAACGCGAATTTGCGATAATGGAGATCGTGTTGCGAATTAGCGATCGCATTGCGATTTTGTTGGTCATTTTGACAAATCCGGAAAAAGTTGGTTAAAATCGTATATTATATGGGATTTTTGGTCACTGATATTATTTTATCTTTAAAAAATTACACATGAATATATACATAGGAGTCATGAAGGAACGAAGAAAACAGTCAAAACAGCCGCAGGGGTTTTTAGTATCTGTTTATCATTGTTTAGCTCTCATGTCGTCTTCAAGAGAAGGACACTACAGGGGAGTAAGGAAGAGGCCATGGGGAAGATACGCCGCCGAAATACGCGATCCATGGAAGAAGACTCGGGTTTGGTTGGGTACATTTGACACACCTGAAGAAGCTGCACTCGCTTACGACGGCGCCGCCCGATCCCTCCGCGGTTCCAAAGCTAAAACCAACTTCCCCACCACCCCATCATCTGTACCTCCACCTCCGCCTCCGGCTCTCTCTCTGGGTCTCAATCTTGCCTCTTACCGTCGTTGGCCTTTAGCTTCAGCTCTCCATCATCATCACCACCATTTTGCCACCATGGGTGAGTTTCTTCAAACTGGGGTTATCAAAGAAATGCCATCGACGGGACCAACCGGTGTTGTTGGTGTTTCGACCGGTCCTCCGGTTCCGGAAAATGGGTCCACGGCGTCATTTTTGGGGATTGTTCGACGTGGTTTGCCTATTGATTTGAATGAACCGCCACCCCTCTAGCTGTGAAATGTTGTTTTCTCAGGCATTTTAAGGTTCTATTTTTATTTTAACTTTTAACGATCGTTAGTTGTCTTTGGCTAATCCTTTTTTTTTCTTTTAGTATCAGAATCATCAGAGTATATTACAAAGTGAAGAACTCTGTGTACATACGTTTCCATTTCCGACTCGGTACTCAAACTGAGTCGTAGCCGTTTTTAGTGTAAACTCACCCGAAACAGTCCAAATCTTTACCGCTTCGAATCAGGTTGAAATTTATTTGTTGAAAAACTATCCAATCGTCGGTTTGCGATATTTGGAAACTTAATCGGACGATCAGAAATTGATTTTTAAATAGAGTTAAAAAGTTGAAGCACGTGGTGGTGTATTGAGAGTGGGGATTGTACACTTGGCGACGGCAAATACACAGTTAAAATTCGAACCATGCGTGTGCATTTTGCATTCATATTATATTTCGCGTGTTAAGGGACCTGGTTTAGATAAAAGTAGCAGCCTATTATATTAGACCAATTCGCCTGTTCAAGCGCGTGGGAAAGTCTGTAACCCGTCTATACTCTCTAGGTTTCTATTATTCTCCCGAATTTGGTACGATTCTAGTTATACAAGTGGTGGATCCATGCGACTCCTCATCAAGAATTTGTATGGCTATTATTTTGAGAAAAATTTTAAATTAAATTTAATTTATTAATAAAATTAAAAATTAAGAGAATTTGCATATAGAGTATTATAGTTTTAATTTCTAGATCCCGGTTATACATAAGAGATATTCCAAAATTAAGGAGACTGTTTTGGGGAATAGGGGATATGGTTTTTCAAGAAATTATTTACAAAATTGGATGATTTTATTATAATTTTCAAATTTGTTGAGATTGAAATAAAACCTCTTACAAAAGTTGTTAAAATCATATCTGTTTCAGTTTCTATAACACGTTTTAACACAAATACAAATTGAATAATAATTAAATATATATTATTTTTAATTATTTAATAAAATATATTATATTTAAACATCTAAAAAGTAAATATTGTAAAGTTAAAATTTTATAAAATCATATTACAGAAAATAAATTATGATATCATCTATTAGGTGTCGTAACATTGCAGTCTCGTGTCATATAGTCTTCCTTTGAATGGTATCCATCAGAAGAAGAAAAAGTAAAAACCTAAAATGGTAGCCATCCTCCATTGACAAACAAAAGGGAAAGCAGCAACGATGTGCCTGAAGCCGGCCTACCTAAGCTAGGGTAAACCGAACTGCACCTGTTCCTAAAATCATGCATTAGGGTTTGGCAAATCATAGGAAAAACAATGAATGGTATTGCCGGCAGTGCATCCTCGTTATATTAAAATTTTAGATCATCTATTGGTTGGGTCTTAGAGTTTGTTAGTCTTAAGGGTTTCTAATAAAGTTTAAAATCAGTTTGGGTTGACTCTTTTCTCTAATGTAAATTACAAGTATCTTTAACCTAAGACTGGAGTCGGGATGAACTTTCACGGAAGTCATAAACCATAATAAATTGAGTGTTTAAATATAATTATTAAGGTCTAAATTTAAATTTTAAAAATTAAGGGGTTCAAATTTAATTTGCTTTAATTTTAAAATTGATGGAGAAGTATTTAAACTAGAGTCCCTGGCTTCAAAATTAAAAAGAATCTAAAAAGCAATTTGACCCCAAAGATAGTTGGGGAACCAAGACTTAATTTACCTAGTTTTAAAATTGACATGACCTAGAAAACAATCAAACCTAAAATTTTGAGTCCAGACTTAATTTACCCAACTCCAAAATTAAGAGGGACTATAAAGCAATTGTCCCCTCTCAATATACATACGCCTCCATCTTTGTCCTACCTATTTGTTTAACGGTCTAAGTATAGGCTAGTCTATGTTTTAACAAACTCTTCCTATATTGTTTCCTCTATTCACTAAGCTCAAACTTAAAATTTTATTTAAGAGACATCAAATTTCGTATCATTCAAAAAAATTTAGTAAATGCATTTAGATAAATCAATCATTGTTTGTCCATCTTTATTGGCGAGTTGCATTTAGATATATCAATCATTGTTTGTCCATCTTTATTTTAATATGTTTATAAAGTAAATGTATGAATCACATTCATGGAATAATATAATAATATATTGAATAAATGTTTACATGGCAAATTACACCAATGGTCATTAATGTTTGAGTATGTTTTCATTTTTCCCACTAAAGTTTCAACAGTGATAAATTAGTCACTAATGTTGTAGATTTGTACAAAATGGTCACTGACGTTACGAATTTGTAACAAAATGATCACTCTACCATCATCTTCGTTAAATGATGACATGACAACATTAAGAGAATGATTAGTATTTAGTATTACCCCTAAACTATAGCTAAAACATCAAATAAGTCATTGAACAATAATTTTATATTTAATTTACTGCCAAAACTTTCTAATTTTATTTTTTTTCAAATACCCCACTATCTCCACTAAATTCAAACCACATTCCTTAAAAATAATAAAATGATGGAGATTTAAAAATTGTTTCTTTTTCATTTTTTATATATACTTTCTCATTTTCATTTCTTCAAGATGAGAGGTTGATATTGTTGCTGAAAGAACACAACAACAAAAATTGCAATATTGTTAAAATAAACAGAGTCAAATGCATCGATTTTACTTAATCAAATAGACAAAGAGATACAGAAAGCAGCAAACAAAACAATCGAGCTTCAAAACTTGTTGAAGAAATTGGACATGGATAATTATACATGACAAAAAGTGGCGCGTGAGACCGTAGTGATGCTTGTGTCTCAAAAAAAGATGAAAACACTACGAGAACAAGTAGTTGTCACAATGGAGTTAACAATATTGAATCATGGTGTGAGGTTGAAGATCAACAAGACAAAGAAAGAATAAGAAGAACAACAATAGTTTACAAACACTTTGATACTCCAAGTGTTTACGTTTGTAAGGAAAAATCTTTTTTTTTTGGGTTAGTAATTGACATTTGAACTTAGTTAATGTTTTACATGAAGTAACATTGCATTAAGTGAATGAAAATTATGCAACTTGAACTTATGTTAATAATCTTTAAATCTTACTAAATCCTTAAACTATGGTCAAATTCAAGAAAACAACTTCCAACAATAAGAATAGTTATGATTATATTTATGCACATTTTATGTTCTTTTCATGCTTACACGAGTGATTAACAAGCAATAAAACATACAATTGATGGTTTGATAGGAAAAATCATGTTGACAATTGCAGGTCTGAAACTAGCATTAGTTTTCATAGCAAACTTCAAACTAACAAGACAACCATAAACTATTCAATAAGTCAAAAAAATACCAACATAGAAATGTCATCATTAAACACGTGAAATTAGCTAAATAATTTGACCCAAAACGATCAATAAACGAAAACATTTGAGTTATTGATTGATGTAATGTGTTACTAATTTGCATTAGCTTGTTTGCTAACTTAACCATATAACAACTCTTGTATAGTCCAAAACGTAAACACTTGGAGTATCATAGGGTTTGTATTCGTTCTTGTTCTTTCTTTGTCTTGTTGATCTTTAACATCACACCATGATTCTATATTGTCGACTGTATTGTTGGTAGCTATTTATTCTCGTAGTGTTTCCAATTTATTGTTTTGAGACACAACCATCCTTCACTCTCACGCGTCACTTTTTGCTATGTATGATTATCCATCTCTAGCTTCTTTAACAAGTTTTGAAGCTATGTTGTTTTGTTTGTTGCTTTTGTGTTTCTTAGTCTCTTTGATTAGGTAAAATAGATGCATTTGACTCCATTTGTTTTAACAATACTACAATTTTTTGTTTGTTGTGTTCTTACAATAACAATCTTAATCTCTCATCTTAAAAAATTAAAATGAGGAAGAATATATATATATAACTATTTTTAAATCTTCGTCATTTTTTATTTTATAAGGAAGGCAGTAGAATATAGTGTAGGTTGTGGGATATTTGGAAAAAATTGAAATTAGAAAGTTTTAGGGTTAAATTAAATATAAAATCATTGTTCATTGACTAATTTGATTTTTTTAGCTATAGTTTAGGGGCAAAACTAAATGTTAATTGTTTTCTTAACATTGTCACGCCATTATTTTATCGAATATGATGGTAGATAGACCATTTTGTTACAAATTGATAAGTTAATGATCATTTTGCTACCAATCAATAATGTTAGTGACAAATTTGTCACTTTTGAAACTTCAATGGAGAATATGAAAACTTACTCAAAAACTAGTTACGTTGGTGTAGTTTGTACATATTAATATAATAATCTCAAGTAACACCTTGAAAACATTCTTGAACAAAATACTATAATCAATAATAATCTCACTTTAATACAAAACAATATATTTGTAATATCCCAAAATCCGATTAGTGACTAAAATGGGAATTTTGAAAGTTTTGTGTTCAATTTAGAAATAAATTAAAAGTTTCAGGATTTAAGTAAATAATTTTAATAGTGGATTAAATAGAAAAGATGAATGAATTAAAGGGAAAAATGGTCTTTTTATGGGAAAGATTTTTTTGAGTATTATAAAACGTGGAAAATGTGAGAAAGTTTACAGACTTCTCTTCTTCATTCTCTTCTTCTCCACCGTGAAGCCATAAGCAAAGGTAAGATCTCTTGTTGGTTGATATTTAGCTGAATTTAAGATTTGGTTATGATCATTGGGTGATAATTAAGCTTAAGGAAAGCTTAAATCATCTTAAAAACAAAGGATGGTGGAATTAGGAGAGATTAAAGATTAAGAGTTTTTGAATGAAATTTTGGAATAGAGTTCATTACTCAAATTGGAAGATAAATTTGTCTTGTCGTCAACTTAATTAAAAGATATGGAGTGATGGAATTGAATTTAGAACAAGTAGAAAATTTAGTATGATTCTTGAATTCCATATGAAAGATAGGATTTTGAGATTTAAGATGGGATAAATGAGTACAAATGGGCTTAAGTATGTGTGTTTGAGTTTAGTATATAAAAGGGGTTGGAATATGAAGTGTTTAAGTTGAAATGAAGTAATTTTCTGAATGAAAATGTGATTTCTGGACTAGGGGAATCGGTACCCATTCAAGGGGGAACTGATACCCCCTCAAACGAACCAGGATTACAGAATGTCATGGGGGAACCGATACCCCCACAGTAGGGTATCGATACCCCCTAAAGAAAAATGTGAATATTGATTTATTAAGTTCGTTTAAGCTGTTAGTATCGAATTACAAGGTGTAGGTATCTAATAATTGCCTTAAAATGTATAATTGTGTAGATACAGAGCATAAATGAGTTCTGAAAACATTGACAAGTAAGATCGATCGGGGGGAATAGATAAGATATCGATATTGACTAGTGAGGCCAGGTGAGTGCATACTTTTGGTATCTTGTGATAATGGAAATATGACTCGCGATGAGTCTATTTCCTATAGTAGAATGCATGAAGTAATGAACATGAGCATGGTTTGATATGATTATATGTGCTATATGTTGACATACTTTGTGTGTGATACATGATTTATGAAAATATTATTATATATTAATGGGAAAGCATAAAATAAGTTATGTAATGATATGCTTATAAAAGAAAAGGCATGTAGGTATATTCTATTTACAGAATAATTAAGCCAATGGTCATTATGATATATAAGAATGAAATGTAAGCTACACATAAGTGATAAGTCATGAAGATATGTGATTATGAGAATATTCAAGAGAACCGAATATAAATCGGAAGATAATAAATTAGGTGACTCTAGGAGAATAATAATATATATATATATATTAGGGGACATGAACATAATGATGATATGAACCTATAGGATAAGCACTATAGGAAGTGTGATATACTTAAAGGAAATTATGATATAGGAATTATCGAATGAAGAACTATAAAATCCCTATGAGAAAGATTATAGGTATTATATGAAACGGAATTAAATAAATAGAGTAAACTAGTATTTAAATATTGTGAAATAAATTATATAAGTTATATGTTATTGAAAAAGTTAGTGTAATAAATCATGTAACTGATAAAAGGGAAATGAGATAAGATAAATAACAATCACCTATAAGATTCAAATAAGATTCTATGAATATGTAGCGTAAACTATATAAGGGAGACTTAGATATTATATGATTTAAGTCTGAAATGAACATAAGATATAGTCAGGTGAAATTATTATGTGACATGAGTATATGAATATGTTAGATAAGTAATATGGGAAGGTCGTTATGTTAAATGAAACAATGATCTAAAACTGTTAGATTTTTTATATGATATGAAGTATAGTACAAAGTACTTGAAATCATATGAGGATGTTATAGGAATTAGAAATATAAATTATATGGCCTTAATGTATCAATTATAGGAAAAATGAGTGCATGATGTTGTAATAAATTATAGAAAGTGGTGTAATGAAATTATATGAATAAGTGAAAGAGTAAAATAAGTTAATCAATATTGACCTAAATTATATTATGAATTAGTGGTATAAGAATATAATATAAAATATGCAATAAGAATCTATGTGATATGACCTATGAGATCATATGAAATATTATATGACTATGTAATTATATGAAAAAAAATATAATTATATGTGATAAGCTCTGTGATATGTGAATCATATGAAAATGTTCTACGTGTAAGTGAACCATGTGTCTACACATATCTATGATATGTGATTTATATGACAGTGAACTGTGTGAAAGAACTATGAGACTACGTGTATATGTGAATGTGTGACAACATAAATATTAATGTCCATGTTATGCGACATGAGAGCTAGAGGTATAGTTGGCATGCCAAGAGTCGAGGGCCTACGCTGTCCTTCGGGACATATATGTATTCTTTGGAACATGTGTGAGGTCTTTTGAGACACATACTTGATCATTGACATATGTATATGATTCTTAAGGAATTTTCTACGTGGTCCTTAGGGATAATCTTATATGGCACTTCAGTGCATTTCTACGCGGCACTACAGTGCAATTTTACGTGGTACTTCGGTGCATTTATATGAGCTTTGGTGATAGTATTAATGCACAACCTCAATAGACTCACATATCTACAGTTCTCACAATGTACATGGGCTAATCAAGAGATAATAACAAATACACTATACATGATATGTATGTTTGTTAATGTTAAGTGTGTTAGAGAAATCTCATGATGATACGTTGGTGAATTGATATAGTTATATATGTGCTATATGATGTGTATGCATGGTGAGTAAAGGGTCATATGATCAAAGAAATCAATGATAATGATAAGAATTATAATAAAGATAAAGAATTGATATGCATATGTTTGTAGTTATGTTTGATACATAATGCATTCCATAGTTTATGAAGTTTACATGAAGTATGCATAATAGCAATTAGAAATGATATGTTATAGTAAATTTAATTATGTCTCACTAAGTCATAGACTTAGCGTGTGATTGTTTCACACGTAGGTTATAGAAGCGAGAAGAGAATCTAAGAGGAGCAAGACATGTTAGCATCTTCCTTAAAACGTTTCAGATCAGAAAAGAAATGTTTAATATATATTTGATTCTTTTAGATATAGTTAGCATGTAATATAAATAATTTGAATAGTATATGATCTGATAAGTTTGTAAATTTTTATGATGAAATAATATGAAGCTTTCTTTAACAGAAATTTTTTATTATTTTGAACAAGAGTTTTAAAAATTGATGTGACACCTCAGACTCAAATAGAGTATTACAATATTTCTTTTCAACGAATACCTCTTTTCGTCACTAAGGCAATGTCGTGAACAAAATGCAAAACCACCTACGCTGACGTGTCTTTTCACTTATCTTTTTCTCTATTTAGACATTTCATCCTTTTACTCTACAAAAGTTAGCGTATTAGTCTCTCTACATTTTTTTAATGAGATTATCATCATCAACATTGAAACATTAATTCTTTTTCTTATGAGGTTTAAAGGTATCAAAACCCTCGAACTTTAAAAATATAATTAAATTTCTTGTTTTTCTTCAAACAATTAAATTTCAAAAATTTAATAGTAATTATTAAATTAAACAATTTATTTCGATTAAGTGATATGATATGTCATATCATAATATTATAAAATTATTTTTTAAAATTATTTGTTTTAATATTTTTAAATTTTTTATCTTTTTTTTATAAAAAGATATAAATCTTACATGACAATATTATAATTAATCAGGATTATATTATACAAATTTATCCCTTAATATTTAAAAAATTGTCATTTTTTGTTATTGTTTTTAATATTTTAGATCTTATTATTTTAATTTTCGATCAAAATATTTCATGTTAGAAGAAAATTGTTAATTGACTGATGGTCAACGTATGTTGTTGACGCGATATTTTTACGTATACATAATTGAGAATATAAAATGTTGTATTATTACTTTAAATGAAATGACACATGTCACATTATTACTATAAATGATGCGGTACATCATAGTTATGTACTTAAATATATGTGAAAAATATAATATATTTTTAGTATAAAATATTTGAATAAAAAATAAAATACTAAATTTAAATGCCAAAAAATGAATTAAGACGAAAGTGAATATTTATATAAATGTTGGAGTAATTTTGTTAGATGCGTTCTCAAATGACCCACGACCAGTCCCTTGTCGTTTTGAAACAACAATTATTTAAATATATTTTACTCAACTTAAGAAATGACTGAAAATAATACTACTTGGAAATGTAGGGAGTCCCTATTTTGAATGACTAAAGCATCGAGGGACTGAAAAGCAATTGTCAGATAATAGTAGATGCCTGCGTAATCGGCAACGATTGCCCACCCAATCTTCGTTATTTGAGTTTAGTTATTTTATTTTGAGTTTAATTGTTATATTTTGTGTGATTATTTTATTTTAGTTTGAATTTAGTACAAAATTTATAATAATTATTTTTGTAAATATATTTTACAATGTTAAATACGAGGATGCATAAATTAGAGAAAGTATATTTCAAGTCAAGAATTAAATAAAATTAAATGTTTTATTTTTAAAAAAAAACTTGTTAATTTAGTAAGAAAAACAAAAT